GGTGAAAATTTAAAATATTCATAAAACAAAAACAAAAGTGTCATGAATAAAGTTCAAGATAAGTGACAATCTGGAAAAAAATACTGGTAACATAGCCTCCATATCTAGAAAGTTCTTACTATCTGAAGATGGATATACCAATAGGAAAACAGGCTAAGAACACAAAACAGGGAATTCATGAGAAAATATAAATCTGCAAGAAACATAGGGACAATGTTCAACTTTACCCAGAATTATAGAAATGCCGAGTTAAATAAAAAAGAGATACATTAAAATATATATTTATAATTTACATTCAAAAAAAGTACTGACAGCATGGCAAGGATGTGAGGTCAGGGCCGTTTTCAACTCAGTAACCCGTATGCATCTTTCAGGTAATCCTCACACCATTAGAGGCAGGAGTTATCATTACGGATAATGAGACAGAACACTCAACAGGTTTCAATAATTTATGTAAAGTCAAATGGACAGGCAGCAGACTGCAACCTGTCTAACTCCAAAATCCACACTCGTGACCTCTGCATCCCCAATGGGGATGTTCCCAAGTGTTTTCTAGAACAATGAAAAACTGCAGTCAGTCTATGTCTCCAAGAATAGGAGGCTGATTAAAAAGCTTTATCTCGAGGTGCTGGGTAGCTCGGGTAGTTAAGCATCTAACTCTTGGTTTCGGCTCAGGTCAAGATCTCATGGTTTGTGGGTTCGAGCTTTGCTTTGGGCTCTGCGCTGACACTGTGGGACCTGCTTGGGATTCTCTTTCTCCTTCTCTATTCCTCCCCTGTCCTCATTTGCTCTCTCCCATCTCTCTCAAAATAAACACACTTAAAAAAAAAATTGTACCTACATAATACATGCCCCCCTCCCAACACAAGAAATCACACGCTAGAAGACCTTGAATGACATCAGCAAAGAGACTGTAGAGTGACATGGAAAAAGCCTATTAAAAAGCCATATATATGCATGGTGTGATTCCAAGTTTATCAACATTTTATATTGTAGAATATATTTTATTTTTTTAAATTTTTTTAATGTTTTATTTATTTTTGAGAGAGAGAGAGAGACAGCATGAGCAGGCAAGGGTCAGAGAGAGAGGGAGACACAGAATCTAAAGCAGGGTCCAGGCTCTGAGCTAGCTGTCAGCACAGAGCCTGATGTGGGGCTCGAACCCACGATCCATGAGATCATGACCTGAGCTGAAGTCGGAGGCTTAACCGACTGAGCCACCCAGGCAACCCTGCAGAATATATTTTAAAGTAGGATAAAATGGCCAATGAAGACCTGACAGGCAAGATTTTTATTTTCTTCTTTCTACTTTTTGTATCTCTCCAAATTTGCTTTAATCAGCACTCTCAACTTTTAATCAGAAAAAGTTATTCAAAATTAATACAGAAATGTACAGTAAGAGAAAACAGACATGTGCTGAAGAAGCATATAGCTGATTTGTATTTAAAAATGTTGAGCTAAAATTTGGGAAAATTTAGCTTAACATTCAGGGGAGAGGAAAAAACAACAGTTCACACAGGGAAGAGACTATTTCTAGGATCTGTGAGTATTCCTTAGACCTTTTCACTCTTCACAGACTAAGGACCCGCACTGGTAGGAGGAAGGGATCAAGGGTAGCTCTTGGTAGGACCCTAGCATCAGGCTGTACCACACATACTACAAGAAATTCCTACAAGCTCTCTTAAGGAATCCCAGTCAAGACAAATAAAAATTCTCTAAGCAATGGCTCTTAAGATTCCTCTTCCAATCTTAAGCCCAGTAGATAAGCTCAAAGTGATCAAAAGAAATCGCTGTTGCTACTTATTTCTAATCCATCCTTTCAATACAAAAACTCGCTATTGCATTTGGGAGAGCCCTTAAAAAACAGTCCATATCTTACACATCGCCTGGCACCTAACAGGGGCATCCCATCAATACAGAGGAAAGCAGTAGTAAAACGAATGGTTCACACTCTGCACAGCCATCTCATGGAGAGGTTTTGCAGTGTAGGAGCCTTATTTATTTGACACTCTTGGCTAATCCAGCTTAGTACCAGTACCAGGAATTGATGACAAGGATAGCATGTTCACAAAATGGAAGACAGGACTCTGCCTTTAGGTCTGGAGTCTCCCCGGTCTGACAGGTGGTTCCTCACTTCCAAGATCCAAACTGGTTACCTTCACTGGTAGTGAGAACCACAGACACCATTCTCTGCTTTTGCTGGGATCTTGTATTAGGGTCATGTCTCAGCTCTGGTGGAGCCTCAGTTTAAATACTAGTCTATCTGTAATATTCTCCTGGCAGAGGCAGCTGGTCTTGTGACTTTCAGCCGCTGGTTATTAGTTTTTCATGACATTTCTCAGATGCTCATGATTATTTTGTCTGTCCCTAGGAAAAACAGAGGAAGAGAACAGGACAAATACCTTGTTTGAGAGTCACTAAGAGAAGTGATAAAAACAAGATCCTTTCCTACCTCTCTCTGCTTAGCACAAGTGAGCTAAAGCGATTCTTTTTTTCTAACAAACCCATCTAAAATGTCATATGTCTTTTCGCTAGTGTCACCTTACATAATAATCTGTCATCTTTGAAATCTCTCTGCCCCATATCGAGTTAGTTACAAAGTCCTGTTGATTCTCACTCTCTCCATTTGAGCCTTTTCCCTCTAACTTCAGAGCAGCTACCTGGTCCAGCCTTGATAGGGTAGGTGAGTTTTATTTTTTTCCACTGTTTCTTTCCTCCATGGCCTTTCCATTGTCAAATATATGTTTCCCATTGCTGCCAGGAGTACCCTCTTAAAACTACAATCTGATCTTGTTAAACCTGTCATGGACATACTTTTATTTTTATCTACCCAGCAGCCATTATTTCAGGAAAGCACTCCTGCATCATTCCATTAACAATCCTGCTTAGTCCATAAGTTTCTACAGTCTAACCCCTTCCCTACTCCACCTCTGGGCCACACTCCCCCAACATCACCAGAGAGAGGCACAGGGTCCAGGCCACCGGGATTTATCATGCGACTGGCCCAAAACTGAGAAATGAATCATGCCCTATGCTGACCAATCAAAGTCATCAATGAACTGTAAAGAAAGATACTCTTTTCTCCATGAGGTAAGATTCAACAAGTGCTCAGGCTGCACTATGTGGGACATTCCCACAGCCAAAACCAAGACAAGCAGAAAGTGGAGATCATGAGAAGTCAGCATAAAGGAATGGAAAAGGCTCTGACAAAGGTAAAGACATCACTGGAGCCACTGGATCCCGCTCTGTTTCTGCCATTGTGCACTTAGCCAGTGTCAACTCATCAATCAGTAATTCAACTCATGGGCAGGTAACCCAGAGAAATGCATGTATATTCCCCTTTAATACCTGTACACAACTGTTGACAGCAGTTTTATTCCTAACTTCCCCACACTGGAAGCAATCCAGATGTCCCTCAATTAGATGCATGGTTAAACCAACTGGGCACACTAACATGACTCCGCAATAAAAAAGAACCAGGTGTGGATCCAAGAATCTGAAATTATCTCAAGGGAGTAATGCTGAATTAAAAAAAAGAAAAGCCAATCTCAAAAGATTATGTATGGTCCCACTGAGATAATCTTGAAATAACAGAATTAAAGAAATGGAGAATAGACGAGCAGGTGCTGGGGGCTAGGGAAAGTGGTGAGGTGAGAGGTGAGGCAAATGGGTGTGGCCAGAAAAGGGCATCACAAGGGATCCTTGTCCTTAGGACACTGTTCTGCATCTTGAGTATATAATGTCCTGGTTGTGATCTCCTGCTTGAGAGTAACAAGACATTCCTACTGGAGGACACTGGGTAAAGGTACACATCGCTCCCTACAGAACTTCCAACTGCCTATACAGATAAAATTACCCCAAAATAAAAAGTTTATTTATTAAAAAACTTTCTCCGCTGCAAATATGAACCAAGAACCAGATTCTCAGTGCAAGAGTACCTCACCAATAATCGTACTTTCAAATAAAAGACCTCACTGTACCTAGCAACACTACAGGGTTTTGCCAACAAGAGGCAAGGCAGTCTGTAGAAAAAAAGATGGAGAAGAGTCACTCTAGTCAACACGAGAGAGGAGATTTCCTTACATATGAAAACTATTTTCAGAAACTGGCGAAAGGAAAAAAAAAAAAAAAAAAAAAAANCGAAAGGAAAAAAAAAAAAAAAAGACAAATACTGGCAAGAGAAGTGTCCCTGCCCAGCCACTGAGCAGGGACCCTAAGTGATAGTCCATCTCTGCAAGTGCATGGCTGGGGTTCCATGGGGATGAGTAACAGCCACTGAGCTGTGAAATCTGATCTGTTTGCCGTTTAAATCCATGTGACTCACTGAAGCTGGTTGCATTCACATCTAAAAATAAAGGAAATCTGCAGCCTAAGCAAATTGGCTCATGGGCTCCTGGGGTTTTGATTCAAACAATACACACTGGAAGACAGTGGTTTTGTAAGTTATGCCAACCAGCTGTAAGGGAGGTTTTGCTGCTCAAAAGACAGAGTCTAGGTTGAGATCTAGACACAAAGAGGGTCCAAGAATTATCTGCTTATGTACATGTTATCACGTGACACCTTCTCTGCGTAGGGAACATGAGATCTGAGGTCCTCTGCAGGCTAGAAGGATGCCCTTCCTTGGACATCGGGTGTGCCCCACTAAATGCCTGCCTCCAGAGCGGACAGGGGGAGTCATGAGCTATTAAAGACAGAAGAGGGTGTGGTGGTCACATGAGTGACTGAGCGGCACTTGGACTGGCAGTGGCTGAGTCTATAAACAGAGGGTGTGGTGCCTCGGACCTGCCATTTTTTTGTTTTGTCCAGTCCCACTAAGTATCTCTTCCAGTAATGCCTACACCCCTAACAACTGGTGAGCGGGGCAGTTCATTTCTGGGCATTCCCTCCCGGACACCCAATTTCTTCCCAAGAAAGGTTCATACCTATATAACTAGTGACTTTTCAGAGCTGCCCCCTCAACCCCACAGGGACCTGCCTCGCACAGCCACTGCTGCACTCACCCATCAGGACACTCAGAAGCTTCTGGACTCTGGAATTGACCCCCACGATTCGGTAGAGGCCTTGTTCATTGATCCCTGAGGAAAGAAACAGTGATGATTTAATTAGGGGCACGTCAGAATACAAGTCAAGCCAACCCAGCCAGATGCACTTTTTTCATTTTCTCGGTCCTTCTAAAAGCCGCTTTAATTAAAGTCCCCTGTCACTCAGCTCTGCTCTTAGCGAAGGAGTGGGATTTGGTGCAGCTGTCTAGGATTTCACGGGTGTGCTGCACACTTCAACCCTTGTGTTAGTTCAGTTCAGTCAACAGAAGGGAAAGAGACCTTCCTCTCCTTTTGCCAAACACAGCATCTGAAGAGTTTTCAAAGATGCAAAATATAGACTTTTAAAGGTTACACCTAACTGGGTTTTCAATTTAAAAAGTCAAAACTGATGTGACAGAAATTTCAGACTGTAGTAAAGAACAAAAGCTTCACAATCTAGTTTCAAATACAGAATAAGAATACAGAGTTGCGAGAGCACTCCAAACTTTGGACAATGTTCTCCAGGACTGAGAAATTAGAAAATCCATTCACGTGTCACATAAAGATTATTTATAAAGAAAAAGGAGATTGGCCTTCATTCACCCCAAATAAATGTTTAACTGAACTAGAAGGGGATTACCACCACACACCCAAAGAAACAAAAACTAACCCATCTGAGTGTTTCGTTCATTTATGTGTGAGGATCAGATCACCACCGTACCATTTACAAAAGGGGACTATTTAAATCAAGTGACTGGAAATGATTTTTCCCGTGACCGTAGGCCCACTGTACCTGACACCTCTCATCCAAGATACTTCCCATCTTATTCCCCTGAAGTCCATTTTCCAACCAGTAGCCAAAACGAACTTCCTAAAGTATGCATCAGTTCAAACCCTCTCTTTCCTTAAAACCTTCCAATGGCCTCCCACTACAGTGAGATCACGAGGCCCTGCAGGATGAAGCCAAGGCTCATCTTTGCATCATCAACCACCATTCCTCTGCTCCAGCCATGCTGGCCTTTCCGTTTCCCCAACGCATCAAGCCTGTGCCCCCAAATCACAGCCTCTGCTTAGCTGCTTCCACTACCTGGGACATGCTTCTGCCAGATCTTCTGATCATCCCGTGATCCGCTGAAATGCAACTGGTTCAACCTAAGGGATCCCCTACTACTGGCCAGTCTCCTACCCTCTTTTCTTGTAGCAAGTAACGTTTGATACTATCATTTTTATTTAGTTTCTTGTTTGTCTTTCTCCCAACCACCACAATATAAATTCTATGTACAGTGAAATTCTGTCTTCTTCACCATAATATCCCCAGTGCCTAGGTCACCATATAATACATGACAGAATGAATGAAAACACTGCATCATACTCCTTCAGGACCACCACTTTGGGAGCAAAATATAATTCTTGCAAGAAACGAGAAAAGGCTGACTCTCTAAGATCTCTAACAAGGTCTATCTGGAATTAAGGAATAAAAAGAAGTGGTCTAGAATGACAGGATTTTATAGCTAAAAAGGGCATGTCCGTCAGCCTGCACAGCTCAGAGACTAGCCTGGCCTAAAACTATAGGGTGGGGCCCAAGCTACTTAATGGCAAAACCATTATTGAGTAATGTGGTGGCTTCAAGGGCTTGTTCTTTCTCAAGGGTCTCTACTTCTCCTGTTCTTGACCTTTCCTGGAACTGGATACAGCCCTGTCTCCCAAAGGACAATGATTAACGAACCCCACAAAGTGTGGGAGGTCTGTTCATCTCTGGTCACCACAAATAATGTGTGTGCATGCAAACATTCCAGTGGCAAAATAACCACTTCCTTCAAGTATTTATGTTAAAATGGTGTTTAACTCACACTGTCCTCTCTTCCTTTCTGTGTCAAGTGAAAACTTTCTTACAAGTTAAAACACATCGTTTTCATTTTCATTTTCATTCTAGCGGAGGAGGGGACCAAGAGCCAGAAGTGAGGACACTAAACTACTTACTGGTGACCTTGCTCTTCCTCTACTACTTACTGTGCGTATTTTCTGGTTTTACCCCGTAAAAAGTCGTCCCCCTGAGATACCGGTTTGCATTTACCATACAGGCTCTGCCAAGGGGTTTGAATGATTCTGTTTCCCTATCGTTGGTTTGACTGCTGCAAACTGAGACAAACACGTGGCCTACCTCAGCCAAGTGTGCAATTTTCACAGTGGAGGGAAGGGGGGGGTTTGTGTTGAACTTACCTCTGGCTCCATTTTATGCCTCTACCTTTACTAACCCTGTACCTCTTATTCCTTAGTGTTTTCTTTTCAAATTAAAATTAAAATCCCTGTCAAAAAATTGCTTTAGTGATAGATACTCTAAAATTTAGACATTGCAATTCAGGCATGTAGATAAATCACAGGGAGACGTAAGAACGGCGGAGAGACCAGTGACCAGGCAAAGATGCCTGCGCACATAACTCCCCGCCCTTAACTTCCCCAGAGTGGGTTCATGCCGTGCAGGCTCTTTTATAGCTTTCGTTTTTCATTTAATTTGTACTAATGAAAACCATGCATGCCAATAAATATATTTCTACTGCAGCTTCAGTGATTCGCAGCTTCTGTGATTCACAGCTTTATACCACGTGGATGTACCACTGTTGATTTAACCACTCTTTAAAACATTTGGCCAGTGTTTGATTTTTCAGGTTAACACTACAGCATAAACGTCTTTATGGCTCAACCTGCCTGTGTCCTTATTTCCTCCAGATCCATTCCCAGAAATGTCACCTACTTCGACTTTATATTCCCTGACTGTACTTTACTTATCTTCACAAGCTGCCTTAACTCTCTACTGAAGGAAGCTATAGCAGAAATATGCCAACACTTATAATATCTTAGCATACATTAAAGTAACTACTTTGGGAAGAACACTTTCTGACCGGGTAAGAGGAGAGGTTCAGACAGTTTTTTTTTTTTTCTCCTCCCCTTCTACTCAATGCTTCATAGACTTTATAATGATATTTATATTTCTTAACTAGTAAGAGTTATAGATCCTACTTTAAAAGATAAAACTTCTTTCAATTCAATAAAAAAGACTGGTGGGTTCAGAGGCTGGGGAATAGTAAGATTCACATCTTTGACAATGGTTCAAATCAAATTCACAGAAAAGATAGTTATCAGCTTTTCTCAGGGGCACAATAGACCAGACGCTCTAAGCTCCAGACTGCCGGAACTGAGAAATCTCCTTTGTGGCAACATCTGAGGAGGGGAATGGAGACCATGGGGATGAATCAGCTTCCCTGATGTCCAAGTCCTGCTCCTACAGGCCCAGGAAAGGTCCGTGTGCTACAGGCAGAGTCTGACTACAGCAGTGATGCAGGAAACCAGGGGCCTGACCCCTTCTGCCTACCTGGAGAGTTGCCAGGGACTAGCTCCCCAAAGCACGGTTTTCAACCACGTGTCCACATACCCTGGGGGTCCACTGGAGAATTTCAGGTGTCACTAAACTCAGACAGGAAAACCATTACACCTTTACTTTCATGACCCTATAACTGAAATTAAACATTCCCTTCCATCATAAGAAACTAATCACAGCATGAGCAATACCTGAGACTTGGCCAGAAACCAGGTATTTTCTTAACACACGGCGACTGCTGTAGACACCCTGAAGTATCACTACAGCCGACCCTTGATCAACATGGGTTTGAAATGCACAGGTCTGCTTACATTTGGACTTTTTTCAATAAATTCAGTATAGTACTATATTTTTTATTTTCTTAACATTTTCTTTTCTCTTGCTCACTTTAGTACAGTATTACAGTGTATAATACATATAACATACAAATTATATGTTAACTGATTGCTTTTATTATAGGTAAGGCCTTGCAGTCAACAGAAGGCTGTTACTAGTTGTCCGGGGAAGTCAAAAGTTATATGCAGATTTTTGACTGCCTGGCCAGGGGTGGGAGCTCAGCACCCTACTACCAGCATTATTCAAGGGTCAACTGTGTTTCTGAATTATGCCAGTTATGACACCCACCACTATTATTTGTTATTTCAAGTGGTGACAAAGAAGCACATGTATTATTACATCACAACTATGTTTTTCAATATTTTAACTGAATTCCACCAACTAAATTATTATCCCATGTATTTGACACGTGCATTTGAAACACTCTCGTATCAGCCAAAGAGGCTGATGACAGCAAATCGGTTGAAAGAGTCTGCTTCAGAGCAACACGACTCATGGAAACACACCGACAACGGCACTTGGGGAGTTAATGAGTCACTTAAAATAGGAAAACAGGTAGCAGGCTGGACACCTCACCAGATGCAGGACCTTTGCCGAGAACAATGCCGTGTGGTGAACAACTTTACCTCTGGTTTCCACAGCGTGGATGCATTTCCTGATGATGCTGAACCCAATGCTGTCCAACTGTGCAGCTGCAAGAGGAAGAAAGGGCAGTCAGGTTGCCGGTCATGCACGTACCGTCCTCGGACAAGGCCTGACAGGCCCGGGATTGGTCAGTCTCATGGAGCAGCCACATATAAGAATGATTTTAAAAATTGCTGGCATTCACTGAGAACTTACTGTATACCATGTACAATTCTTTTATTTTTTATTTTAGTTTATTTACTTTGAGAGAGCGAGGAAACAGGGGAAGGGCGGCGGGGGGAGAGGGAGAGAGGAAGAGAGAGAGAATCCCACACTGTCAGCACAGAACCCGAGGTGGGGCTCGAACTCACAAACCACGAGATCATGACCTGAGCCAAAATCAAGAGTCAGATGTTTAACTGACTAAACCACCAGGTGTCCCATGCCAGGTACAGCTCTACGTGCTTTGTTTATATGATCTCATTTAACTGTCACAGTCACTCTGCAAGGGTGTCCTCTATTTACAGCTGAAGGAACTGCAACATAGGGTGATGAACACTTGACCAAAGGAATAATTAGGCATCCCTGAAACCATTTGTTTTGTTATTATCAGGAGCTGTAGAACTGATTCCCTATCTCCTTTAAAAAGTATGAATTCAGTGGCTCAATAAAAATTGCGTAAGTGCTTTACATAGATTATCTCATTTAATCCTAGCATGTCCACTATCACTGGATCCATATTATAGATGAAGCAACTGACATTTGCTTCATTTGTAATATATTTGCAAAGCTATAAATCCTGACCAAAGCTGCAGAGCTGGTAAGTGGAAGACTCACTCAAGAGCCATTTGACCCAATGCCTTAAGTATGACCCTGAACTACAGACAGAAGTCAATGGGGCACCTGGGTGGCTCAGATGGCTAAGTGTCTGACTTCGGCTCAGGACATGAGCTCACAGTCTGTGAGTTCAAGCCCCCATGTCAGGCTCTGTGCTGACAGCTCAAAGCCTGGAGCCTGCTTTGGATTCTGTGTCTCACTCTCTCTCTGTCCCTCCCCATTCACACTCTGTCTCTCTTTCTCTCTCTCAAAAAATCAAGAAACATTAAAAAAAAATCTTTTTAATGAAAGGTCAAATCCTGCATAGGTGATTAGAAAAAAAAGAAAAAGTAACCTGGAGGAAAATTAAAATAGCCTACCACAAAGAAGTTACCTGAGGAATAAACAGAAGGCAATACTGGGTGTGGTAAGTCAGCAGGTAGTCAGAGTTCTCCACCAGCTATAAACCCTACTAATGTGACTCAGAAAACAAACGGTCAATAGCAGCAACCTTTTCCATGGCACAGAACCAATTTCCCAACCTGGCAATGAGCATGGGAACCTATCAAAATTCATCTCCATGCTTTGATTACCCAGTGAGGAGAGGTAGATGGTTCACCTTTTGAGCACCTTGGGGCATCAGGCAAGACATCTTACAAACTAAGGCTTCACAGTGGAGGAGAGGATGATAGAAACTAGGAAGGCAAATATTTAAAAATAAATTGTCATCATCCCAGGGCATGTAATAAACTTGTAAAAAATGAGAACTGCACAGAACTTGAACTCATTCTTTGATCTAATCCAAAAAGAACCTTTTCAAATACTTTTAAGTTTTTAATTTTAATTCCAGTAAAGGTAACATACAGTGTGATATTAGTTTCAGGTATATAATATAGTTGATTCAATAATTCCATATATTTCTCAATGCTCACCACAGACAAGTGCACTCCTTAATCCCCATCACCTATTTCACCCAGCCCCCACCTACTTCCGTCCTGGTAACCATCAGTTCTCAATAGTTAAGGGTCTGTTCTTTACTCTTCCTTTTTTCCCCTTTGTTCATTTTTTCATTTGTTTCTTAAATTCCACGTGAGTGAAATCATACGGTATTTGTCTTTCTCTGATTTATTTGGCTTAGCATTATACACTCTACCTCCATCCATGTTGTCGCAAATGTCAAGATTTCATTCCTTTTTATGGCTAATAATATTCTACTGTGTATATATGCCACATTTTCTGTATCTATTCCTCTAATGATGGGCACTTGGGCTGCTTCTATAATCTAGCTACTGTAAATAATGCTTCAGCGAACAGGGGTGCACGTTTTTCTAATTATTAACATGTAGCAGTCAACTGTGAGCCAATGAAAATAAAAATTCTTAAGAAAATCACTAAGAATTCCTCAAACTAAAAAGAAATGCTTATTTATTATAAATTCTCTTCCCAAAAGAAACTAAATAACTCTTATTCTTACGTACACACTTAGCACTGATACTTATCATAACCACATGTGGCCTCTGGGATAGTCAGTAAAGTACGAGAAAAGGAGGAAAACCATGTTTTTCTTCCAGGAGACCACCTGCTATATAAACCATCGCTCTTATTCCCTTAAAGCTGTTAAGTACAGCTAAAAAGCTGTACTAACTCACTCTCATGTTTTTCCTAGTATAAACCAAGTATTACTCTGTACATGGTAGTACAGAGTGACTCAATGCTGCAAGTCAGATTGAAATTATTCTTCCAAATGAAACTCCGTCAACTCATGCTATCAATTTTCCCCAAATTTAATAACAAACTATGATACACAGGCGAAATGCCTGTTAGAGTCGAGGGAAAGACTATTGAAAGTAACAATTTTACTGACATATAATTCACATACCAATAACATTCATCCATTTAAAGCTTGAAATTCATTTGTTTCTAGTATATTTACAAAGTTATGACTCTATCAGCACTATCTAATTCCCTACCATTTTCATTACCCCCCCAGCAAAAACTTCATACTCATTATCAGTCACTCCCCATTTCTGCCTTCCATCAGTTCCTAAAAGTCACTCATCTACTTTGTCTGTATGGACTTACCTATTCTAGGCATTTCACATAAATGAAAACATAGTAGGTGCTGTTTTGCGTCTACCTTGTTTCACTTGGTATAATGTTTTCAAGAGTCATGTATGTTGCAGCATGAGTCTATCGTTTCTTTTCATGAGTAAGTAATATTCCATTGCCTGGATAAACCATGTTATTGACCCATTCTTCGGTTGTGGTTTCTACTTTCTGGCTATGAAATGCTGCTAGGAACATCTGTGTACAAGTTCCTGCTCCTCAGTATATACCTAGAAACTGAATAGCTGGATTATAGGGTAACGCGATGCTGAACTTAAGGAACTGCCCAACTGCTTTTTAAAGTTCAGCACCATTTTCCATTCCCACCAGCAATGTAGGAGGGTTCCTATTTCTCCACATCCTTGCCCGTGTTTGTTATTGTCTTTTTTATTATAGCTCTTTTGTGGGTGTGAAGTGGTATCTCATTGTGGTTTTGATTTGCATTTCCCTAGTGACTAATGATGTCAGGCATCTTTTCATGTGCAGAGGAGGATATTCATTCCTTTAGACAGTAGTCAGAACAGAGAGCCCACTGGAAACTATGTGTCATAGGGGAAATTATTTTTTGTACTTAAGGAGGTTTCCAAAATGCTCATAACTTTGACTCCATAGTCCACTGAAGCCTTTTAGTTCTTCTTCTGAGAGGTGATTAACAGGATTTACACACATGGATGACAATCCAAGTAGTTCAAGAGAGAAAGAACCACCATTTTGCACCGTGCTTTGGGGAGCTGCTGATTCTAAGTTTGGATGCTTTAAGAAGAGGTTTGTGGACATGGTCTTGTTTGAGGCATTGATGAGCTTCTATCCTGGACAAAAAGCACTGTGCTTCTTTTACCCCATAAGCACTGATGCAAGTTTTGGAAAATTTGAAAAAAACTGGGAGGTGACAACGACAACCTCAGTGACCAAAAAATACCTGCTCGTAAAGCTATCGGCACAACTAGCAGAAGAAATTAAGGGCAGAGCTAGAGATAAACCTGCAGGACCACATGAGATCTTGAACCTATTCATGTTTTACCAGAAGAAGCCAGATTCTTGGGGTGCCTGGGTGGCTCAGTCGGTTTCAGTTAAGCGTCTGACTTCAGCTCAGGTCATGATCTCAGGCAGGGTTCAGGGGTTTGAGCATCATGGAGGGCTCTGTGCTGACAGCTCAGAGCCTGGAGCCTGTTTCAGATTCTGTGTCTCCCTCTCTCTCTTCTCTCTGCCATTCCTCTGTTTGCACTGTCTCTCTCAAAAATTAAATAAATGTGAAAAATTTAAAAAAAAGAAGCTAGATTCTTTTCTAGGCAAATAATAGCTAATGGGAAAAAATTCAATGGAACCTTCCAAGCATATCCAGAAAAAAATAAATTCCACTAACTTAAACTGATTATAATGACTTCTTTTTGAAATTAGCAAAGCAAAGTGCCCCTTTTTAGAAAATCTCTAAGTTAGTATTTCTCCTTTGGTAGTCCCAACACAAGTTCTCTCATTTGTTTTAAATCTGCTAGCTCCTTTTCTTGAAATAATCTTACACAGATGCTACACAGAAAGGCCTTACCCATTACACAGAGAACACAGTATTAGTATATATTTGTTGTCTGAGTTCAAAAGTGTAACATTTTCACATATGGCAAAGCCAGAGTTCAAGGTAACTCTGTTAGCCTCTAAGTGTTCAAGCTGTATAATGATGAGTTATAGGCAGATAATACTGTGTTAAGAAACAGAATTCACATCAAACAGCAGTTGCCAGTAAGGAACTCATAATACACAGTTTAACAGCTATTGTTCTAAATCTCTAAACTGGAACTGGTATAATTATTACATTGCCTGTTGCCTTGGGACATCCCTGTATCTCCCTGTGTCTCTTTGGTGTGTGTGTATGTGTGTATGTGTGTGTGCGCGCTCACACATGCGCAAAGACCCACACACAAACACACACACTTCTCATCAACTTGACTTTCCTGCTGACGTCATGATTTGGTTACTAATGATTAACAACTGCTTTATTATTTACCATGTACAGAGTACTACTAATACAATGGCGATTATAATACATAGCTAGAGATCATTAATTCTGATCTCTGTCTGGCAGGTACATAATCTAAGTTAATTGAGATCTCCTCCGCTGAAGAGCAAGTTCCCACTAAAAGGTTTAGAACAT